CTCGGTGCGGGGATCGACGCTTGGCGTTCGGTTCAAACCACAAATCAAGGATTGTTCCCAGCATACTATACAGTGAAGGTCATGACACACATGCTCGTTTAAACACGACCCGGGTCATGGACGAGTCTCGCTCAGTTATGGAAATCGACGATGAGGCGTGATGGCTCGGGCCTCGCTTGGCATTGGATTGGCATTGAGGCTTGTCGATTTAAGCCTTGTTCGACTTCCAACCAACATCAATGCGTGTCGACCCTAGCCATGAGTCACGTGTCACACTCGGTTCATCAGTTTAGCTGTGATATTATAGGTCATGACACAAATATACACCTGTATGAGCACGCCTTCAGACTTTGTTTGCATTGGTTAAAAAACAAAGATAAAAATCCGGCTTGCATGAATGCTTGTTGTGTGGTCACATAAAGGAAATAGCCGTTGCCAATGGATTTTGGTGACGTTGCCCGATGGATTCTGGATACCTAGCTTGAAGTTGAAAGCCCCTGAGAGTATGGGATGCCTAGTGGATTCCGGATGCCCAGCTTAAAGCTGGAAGCTCCTGAGAGTATGGGATGCCTGTTGGATTCCGGATGCCCAGCCTAAGACTGGAAGCTCCTGAAAGTATGGGAAAAACCGTGTGAGACGGTTAATGAACCTTTTGATGCATGTTGATGTGCATTGTTGTTAAGTTTATTGATAGGCCGAAGGTAAATCGTGCCTTGACGGTAAGCCGGAATTGATCACATGCATATAGTTGAGGTATAGCAATAGTATTGCTATTGATCTCCTATCGATGTTGTGGTGCGAGTGATGTTCGCATGCTGGGTTCGACGACAAGACGTCATCCTAACTCAGGATTAGTGATTTTACTTACTGAGTCTTCGACTCACTCCGTTGTCTTTTTAGACTTGTAGGTATGGACGTCTCACTTTCTCTTCGTCATGGTGTACCGACTTTGGAGCTGCAGCCTTGCTAGAGGAGATAGAAATTCCCCTGGCCTACGTTTTTGAATAGGAGGATAATGTAAATAAAGAGTGCTCATAGAAAAAAAAAAGGCTTGTAAATGTACTAAGACAATATGGAAGTAGTGTGTTCTGTATGGTGTTTTCCTGACTACTTGTTTGTTGTGTTGTTAGGGAGTTTGTTTGTACACGTTTTCCACATGTGCATGTTAACGAGATAAAAAAAAAGGGGACGACGACGAGCCTGGGACTCTCACAATAATAATCCCGGTGACCGTATGTCGCAACATAGGCTCGGTTTGTTTTGTGAAAAACAAATGATTTGAAAAATATTTTTCTAAAAACATTTGCTTATATCATTTGAAATAATTAGTTAATGAAAAATAGTTTCATTATCAACAATAATTTATGTCAAAATATTTCCGTGGACGATGAAAATATTTTTTATTTATCATTTTTGTAAGAGATACAAACATTATTTTTGGAATTTTTTTTTTCAAAACCATTCATTTTCCAAGAAACAAACAAATCCTTAAGTGAATTAGAAAATCAATCAGATAAAGGAATGAAGACTCCAAGAACACATCGAGGACATGAATATCCGTATGATTAGTTTAAAGAGCTCTACAATGAAAAGGAATGACAAGGCAAACGGCTATTTGTGGGACTCCTCTACATAATGGAGTTGCTAAAAGAATGAACGGGACCTTGTTAGAAATGGTTAGGTTTAAGATGATTCAAGCCAGCTTGCCAATTTCCCTTTGGTGCAATGCATTGTTGACTGCAGCTTATGTCCTTAACCAAGTGCCCTCGAAATCAGTTAATAGAACTTCTCATGAATTATGGACAAGTAGAACACTTGAATTAAATCATTTGCGACCTTGAGGGTTGGCAACGTATGTTCATGATTTATTGCACAAATATGGAAAGTTGGGCATGTAAGATGCATTTTTTGTAAGGTATTCCGAACATTTCAAAGGATATTTATAGGTAAACATACTGATAGAGTCAAGGGACTATTTGGAAAACACCCCTGTGGAATTTTGATTATTTCAAAACTATCCTTAGTACTAATATCTACTATGATAAGTGCATATCCTATGTCAAAACTATCTAGTTCCTCTGGAATTTTGATTATTTAAAAACTATCCTAGGTACTAATTTCTTGCAAATGTCAATGTTTCCTATGATATAAGCAAAGATGAGGAACTAGATAGTGACAATCAGAAGAACAATTGTCAATATAACAAGTAACTCATTGTGACTTGGAGGTACCAAAGTCAATTTGCTGTTCTTGGAAGCCTTCTAAGACTGAAAAAGTCAAAAGGATCATTGGGCTTGCAATCGCGTGTCATTACATCGTCACTAAAGATTGTCAATCGACTGGCTGATAATTTGCACACGCTAATAACGTGTATTACGTTCGTGTGAATACCGAGTCGCAAGTGATGATGGTGAGGTACTTGTCCAAATATGATTCTTGATCGTATAGAAAATGAGATGTTGCAAGCTTGGAATCCGCAGCAAAAAAACCAGAAAAGAATTAGAAAAGCAACTGATAGCCTTCTGCCTCAGACCAAGAACTAGTGAAATGACAGCTGCAACAGACTCTATTTTAAGAAACCTATAGATATTAGAAGAAACAATTGTAATGGGCAATCTCGATTCCGACAAAGGTCTCCACCTAACTTCAAGCAGCTATCTTGATCTTCTTTAGAGTCTACAGCGGGGTTTTTGAAGACTTCTATATAAAGAGGATCAGTGATGCTTGAAGAAGGTTGGACAAGAGAAATACTGAGAATACTTATGTTGCACTTCGTCTTAATTGTTTAAATCAGAAAGCTCCCAGAAAGCACCATTGTTCTTTGTCTGCTATTTTTGTATTACTTTGGAATTGCAAATAGTCAAGTGTACAAGTGTAAGAGTAGTCATCGTGTCTCAATAGTGTGATCAATTATATGAGAGGAGCAACACTAGTTGTAAACTTACATTGTAGATAATTAGTGGAGTCTAGCTTGCATAAGCGCTGTTATCTGGAGAGTGGACATGGACTTAGTGATAAAGCTGGACCACTATAAACTGATGTGTGCCTTATTTCTCTAAGCTCACTATCTTCTGCATTTGTTCACAATCATCTTTGACACTGATAATCGTCTCGTCTTACACTCTTTGCATATGGTTGTTATAATCCTTGCTTGGTGCTTTTAATATATTCCACAAAAGTTTTTAAAATCATCATAGAACCTATTCAACCCCCCCCCTTCCCCCCGGCTTCTAGGTTATATTTTTAGTCTCAATAATTGGTATCAGAGTTTTATTTCTTATTATCTGAAGTGTTCTTACTTCTAAGCATAAAGATCTTTACTTATGGCTGAACTTGGAAGTTTTATTGCTTTTGATTTTCATGCTCAGCCACTATATTTCAATGGCACCAACTGTGGATATTGGAAACAAAGAATGCGAGTGCACATTGAGGAACTGACAAACTTATGGGGGATGCCATCGTTAATGAATCTGCAAGAGCTAATGTCCAATAGGAAGGCAAAAACGTGCAACCAGCCGCAGCTGTTGCTGTTGAAGCTCAACTGGATGAGTCATAGAGAAGACCAGCACAAAATGCTAAAGGTAAACTCTCCCCATGTGAATTTAACAAGATATCTTCATATGTTACAACTAAGGAGATATGGGACAGGCTCCTAGTCACATTTGAAGGAACTGACCGAGTACGAGAAACCAAGATGAACACCCTACTTGGAAATTACGAGATGTTAAAGATGAAATCTAATGAGACCATACCAAAAATGTTCACAAGATTTACAGAAATCGTGAATGGCCTTGCAAATCAAGGAAAAATCTTCACCAATGTTGAAATGGTAAACAAGCTCCCGAGGGTACTTTCAACTGAGTGGAGCCACGTGAAAACATTAGTACGTGAAACAATGAGGATTCAACCCAATGCCATGGATGAGCTGATAGGAACCTGGATGTCCTATGAAGCAAAACATTTGAACGAGGAGACTATCAACAAAGGTAAAAAAATTCATTGCCTTCAAAGTTGATTATAATGATGCAGGTAGACCAACGTCATCTGAAGATGAAGATGATGAGGAAATGGCACTTCTGACAAGAAAATTCAAAAGTATAATGAGAAAAGGGAAAGGTTCCCAAAGGAAAAAGGCAAATGAAGTTCTCCAAAGAAAGAAAATTTCCAAAATGAAAGATGAAAACAAAGGAAAAGACATTGTTTGCTACGAGCGTCGAGTGCAAGAAGCCTGGCCACATCAAACCTGATTGTCCATTTCTCAAGAAGACTAAAGGGAATCCAGGAAAGAAGAAACATGCACTGAAAGTTGAAACCTGGAGTCATATAGAATGTGAAACCAACGATGAAGATACTGAGCAAGCAAACTTATGTCAAATGATGGCTGACTCTAAAGTCAACGAGGAAGTCGAGGTAAATACTCTTGAACATACTTATGAGGAAATGCGAGACTTCTTAAAGGAGGTTTTCGAGGAGCACAAAAAGGCTTCTAGAAAAATCTCTAAGCTAAGAAGAACAAAACCCTTTCAAAACTCACTAACCAAGACTCTAAGGAAAAAGAGGCACTCGTAACTCTACGAAAGGAACTTGACGGTATCAAAGGCAAATATTTCCCAGAATGAACGAGCTTCTCTCCCAATTTTATTAATCAATTTTGGGCTTTGCTAGCATAACGGAGAGTTTCAAAAGATGGAAGAGTTATTGAGAGATGAAAGGGTTTGCCTTGGGAGATTAAGGGGTTTTGCTTCTTTTTGTAGTTTAGTGGTTCATGTTTTTGCAGTGTACTTCAGTCTTCCTCAGTCGTTAGATCAACCTTCGAGAACCCACAACACAAGTTTGGTTTCTTTCCTAGAAGTGGATGGTCTGATGACTACAAGGACTACGATCATGCTCATCCGACGACCAACAGTATAATCTTGTGCGAACAACAGCATGTTGTGGTGGTAGACAAATATTTCTACATAACTCACACTTTTTAGTCAAGCATAGCATCATGTAGATAATTAAGACAAACCGGAAAGTTCCTTTATCAGAGAAATCGCATCCACCAGGCACTTTCATCTTGATAAAACAGCAGAAACTTATTAACTGCTTATCAATTTGGTAGACAACACCTTTCGCTATTTCCTTTTCCAAGTGATGTTGCATATTCAAACTTTTTGACAGATTTGATGCTTAATCTTTCGGTCGAAGGACAACACCTTTGACGAGGAGTCCGGATTTCCAATGGCCACCCGTTTCGGAGAAGGAAAAGCTTATCTCGCCAACATTCTTTGAATTCGTCATGAATGTACCGACCGGGATGTCTATCCATTTACCCTTCTCCTTCTCTTCCAAATTCTCGATGCGTCCCAGTGGGGTTCCATCCGGTAGAGTGAGGTTTAGGTTCACCGGAGCATGCCACCCGCTGCTATTTTCACTGATTTTCACCACGAATGAGACCTCATATGTAGTCTTCGGAGAGAGCATGATCGTCTTAAACTTGCCCGAAATTTTTAGCCAGCATACTTCCAACAGCTTTGCCGCGGGTATGCCTACTTCACCACTGAAACTGAAAGTCCAAATTTGAAAAAATTTTCTTGTTAATGATGAAACCTGTAGATAATTTTTCTTTTCTTTTTATTCTCAGAAAAAGTCTTAGATACAATTTGTCATAATGGATGCAGCACAAGTAGAATTTGATTATTCCAATCCAATTTGGTTTTTTACTATATTCTCTAAGAGGTAATGTTTTCTTCGAGTTCTATCGATGAAATCAAACCTATCCGAGACTTTCAAAGGCAAAGTTGATACTGTTATTTACATTTAACTGGAGAGTATAGTTCATTGATCATCCATATCAGATTTTCTTCTTTTTGGCCAAAACTTCCATATGATCGAAAGCCTTAAAAAAAGTCAATAAATTCCAAGTAAATCAAGCAGCGATGGATACCCTTGCAAACGAAACCATGAAGTGATATCAATCCCTGTTGTCTTGTAGCACTCACTCTACTAGACAAACGCTTTTCATTTTTCCACAACTGATACAGTTAAAACAAATGAGTACCGACACATTTTCTACCATGGAAATGGTTATGGGTTCACAGTTGAAGAGAAAGTATAGTTACCATTTTTCCTTCTGGTCGATCCAAACCCAATACTGCGGAGAATCGATCCATATGATGGATAACTCTTTAGCCAGCAACAAGAAGCAATTCTTGTCGAGATCTTGGTCAACCCAGAACTTCTACAATTTTACACCAGAACAAGCTTGCCACACATTTCTCTTGTTTAAGTTAAACCATTACAGAAATGACATAGTTTCTATTATTTTAATTTTTCCTGATAAAACAAGCCATTCATAGAGTTGAATTACCAGTTTATTATCATTCATGAGCACTCCACCGTAGATCCGATTGCACAACTCTTCGACACTGATCGAGGAATCCGCTCCCGTAGCTTTTCTAACAAACGTCAGGGCGAGGAGAGGAGGTCTTCTCTCCCTTCTTTTCTCTTGCTGGGTGGCTTCTTCATCTGGCCTCAGTGAATCCGTGACTTCCGCCCTTTGTTTTCTCTTCCATCTTCTCTCCATTGAGTTTCTCGCAGCCGACCAAACCTGTTTCAATTCAAGAAGATGTCCCAACACTGGCAGTTTTGTGATAAAGAGTGGGAAGATAAAGGGTGCTTGTCGAAGGTGGACTTTTCGGTCTTTTCTTGCGCTAGCTGATTCTTCGGTCCCAACTAATAATTAAAGGGTATTCATTTTTATTTTCGGCTGCCTTTGTTTAAATGAATGAACTTTCTACGAATTCATTTTTCAGACCTTCATGTGTTTGGTTTGCTGAAAATTGATTAGTTAACGGAAAAATATTTACGATCAAAGGAAACATCCACACTCAAAATTAGAAAAAGAAACTCCTGTTTCTAAATAGAGGAAACCATTTTCACAAGCATAACACACCTACTTCCTTTTTTTTTTTGGTCGATACATAATACACCTACTTCAACACCCATTACTCCAAATAGGATCCAAACATCCGAAAACATTTTCAATGACACTTTTTTGGCATACCATTAAACAAATGAAAATTAATATTTTAACAGAAAACAAGTTCGTCATGAAGTTTTACTCGAACGAATGCACACGAAAATGAGTTATGTAAAATCCTGCTGCCTATTTCAGAAGGCTACTTTATCTAGCCATGAAATCGGGATTAATATAACCCGCATAACCCTTGCATATTTTCTCAATTTAGGGCTCTGTTTTTACCCTTGCTTGTGTTTCGACCACAAAGACATAGCCCGATCTCATTATTTTGTGAGTAAATATGAAGAAAAAATGGCTTGAACTGTAAATTCGGGTTTGGTTCGGCGTCGAGCTTGTTCGGTTTGTTTAATCAACAAAAACCATGATCTAATCAATTGAAAGACCAAACGGAACCAATAAGTTTGATTTTTTCCCTCACAATATTCATTGGCTTCTCTATTGGAATAGTGTATAAAGAGATTAATAATCAATCTCCTAATGGTGTACGTGTGAGTTTCTTAATTAACTTATTAAATAGCTAGTTTTCAATCCCTGTGTTAACAGATTTTATATAACAAAACATGTTATAAAAAAAATTCATTCTGAGACTCTAAATTTAACTATATATAATTAGGAAAAATAACACATATTTTTCAAGAACCAATCAGATTCAAGAAAATAACATATTCATTATACCTCGTTAATATAACATATGTGTGTGTTAAGATGAATGTATTGTGAATAGAGAATGCGCCATGTGGCCTTTGAATGAATTTTCAGTAGTCTTAACTTTTTTAAAAAAAACATATTACTTTATCCTGACTTTTTACCGAATCTAATACATCCATTTTGCTATTTATTGAAAGAGAAAATACATATTTTATGAAGAGGATTGAATAGTAAAAAGGCTATCTTGTCTGGAGGATTTTATGATGTTTTGATTATTTTCCTAATTACACTCTTAAATCAATGTGTTCATACTCTTTCTGTGTCTAATCTAAAATGTCTTTTACAACACATATTCCAACAAAATGTTTTTAACTAAGATGAAATGAGGACTATGAATTGAATTTTATTGGTGTCGTCTTCTTAGAATCATGAGTTGATTTTCTTCTTTTTCAATTTGAAAGTTGACAAAGTATAATTGCAGTTTTTCATGGCAAAATTTGAATAGCATATAGTGCCGTTACTCTCTATAATTACGGGTAAAATTTTTCTTTTGTTTTTTCAGTTCAAATTGAAAGTATGCAATGGTTGATATTCTTTTTGGATAGTGATTGTCTAGTCAAACAATTAGCAAGGTAATAGATGATTGATGCAATGGAAAGCCTGCCACATATTCATAATTGAGTCCTTAAATGTTTTTACGGAATAAGCGCACTAGAAGTTCTAAAATTTATTGAGAAAATAAAATTAAATAATAAAACTTTCAAAAAGTGTGATCGAATTCTGAAACTTATCAAATTAGTGTAATCAAGTCCTTCCATCAGTTCTGTCCAATTTTACTAATAGAAAATACTGACATTATTTTTTATCCTCTTTTTAAAACACTACGCCAATGTTGCACCCATCAAGGGGTACATTAGAAAGAGCAACCAGAAAATTTAAAAGAAAAAAAAAAGATAATCGATGGAACAGCAAAAAGAAGGTACCGAGTTTTCTTTTCGTTTTTGGGGTTGGACTCCATTTGAGCCCAATGTAGAAGAACAACAAGAAGAAAAGGCTACAAGAGCCATGAGCTCTGAAACTGAGCTCTCTGGATCATAGACCTAAAGAAAACTGGAAGAAGTAAAATATTCTTGAATCCTTCAAATCACAAAGCGTTTGTTGTAAACCTAGTCCTTGTGATCTAGATTTTGTTATTTTTAGACGATGGTTTTGGCAACGAGCGAAAGATTTGAACGCATTAAATTCACGTGCTCTCTCTTGGACCGGTTCAAATCCCAGCAAAAGGAGCTCGAGCATCCATGGCCACGAGCTCGAAAAAGCTCGATTAGCCATGGTTGTGAGCTTGAAGAAACTTGGAAGCTGCAGCGGTCATGGTCGAGCTCGTCAAAGCTCAAGCAGCCATGGCAAGGAGCTTGAAGAAGCTCGAGTGGCCATGGCCAATAGCTCGGCAATGCTCGAGCAGCTAGTGAATCACCAAGGTCGACGAAGCTCGAGCAGCCATGGCCGCAAGCCTGAAGAAGCCTGGAAGTTGAAGCAACCATGGCCGCGCTCAACGAAATTCGAACAGCAAAGTTTTGCCTCTTTTTTACCTTAAATTTTTATCTTTTTTTATTTTTTCAATTTATATCTTTTTTCTCTTTTACTCTCTCTTCTTCTTTTATTTTTAATTTTGTTATCCCTTTTTATTTTTCAATTTTCAATTTTAAGTAATAAAAAAAGTCATTTCAACATTTTCTAGTTAACCAAATTGATGGAGTTAATAGAGGAACTTAATTGTACTAATTTGATAAGTTTTAAGACTTTTTGGGCACTTTTTGAAATGTTTATGGCTTGCACTATAGTGGCAAGTTTCAAGACTTTTAATGTATTTATATCATATTTAAAGGCAAACCCTAACAAGACTCCAAGGAAAAATACTCTGAATAAGGAACTTTAGTTATAACATATACTCTTAACCATAGGCAATGTCAAAACAACTAAATTAAATAAAGAAATAAAATGATAATTGACGGTTGGAGAAAACTGTCTCGCATCAAATCCTTGGCTTTATTCTGATCTTAAAAAATTTCACCTTAATCTTGAGTGATAGTAGACCGTCACAAAATGTCGGATACACTTCTCTACTTCATCTATCTTGCTTATTTATTCATACAGATTGTACTTGGGTTTTAGGCGCTCTACAAGGGGGTGGAGGGTTGAAAGCGTATGAGAAGGGGCATCAAGACTACAACTCTAACACCACACTGTGTGCTCCACATATCAATTTTCTTTCTTTCTTTCTCTCTAATTCTTTATCGGAGAAAAGAGATTTATTTGGACCTCCGAGATTGCAAATTCTTCTTTTTGTACGCGGCAAAACAAAGATCAGAACTCATGCACAAACGTGTGGGCTTTCTTCCTTTTCTAATCGAGCAAAAAACATTAGGCTGCATTTGACAGTCTGGACATGGATTTTGATAGGATAGGATAAAGTGGAATTAGAAATCATCTGGATTGTCCTTCAAATTGTGAAAAATCTCATCATATATTTGGAAATATTTGAATAAAGTGGGATAAAAAATCCTCTGAATTGTCCTTCGAATTCTTTGAGATGTTGGCCTTTGGAAATCATCTCGTTGATCAACATAACCTTTTGGGAATGTGTTACTAGTACCTTCTCTCTCGTCCTTATTTTTGGCTAGAGCTGGGCTATTAATAGCTTCATGCTGACATGGTTTGCTTATAGTTGGTTGCTCGAGGAGATCTTTTTCTCGACAAATCTTTTCTAGGTTGCAAATTGAAGTCATGCAAGTTTCATCTTCTGTAACCATGTGGACATGATCGTTCCTATGATGGCAAATTTTAAGTTTTGTCAATTGAGTGCTAACTCTCGTCCTAACTGTCCATCGAAGAAAATAAAAGTTTGTGAGGATCAATTCTGGCATATTTTCTCTCAGTTTTCTCATTGCTGATAACTTTTGAGGAACTTCCTTTAGAAGTATCCCGTATTCCAATGCGCCCCTCTTCATATATAAAGATATTTCTTTCCTTGGATTTCTGTTTGTAAGCCAAGAGATGGCCACTTACTAATTTCTTCTGTCGCGAATTACTTGAGGCTCTTTTTCGGGTCAAAGCTCGTGTCAATGGCCTTCTATTTGAACAATTTGGACTTTCAGAATTGTTCCCTATCGTATTTGAATTTTGTTTAGGCTTAGTAGCATCACCTTTTTTATTCCAGTTTTGCACTGGCTGAACCAAAGTGATACCAACCTCGACTGCGAGCTGGGGTTCTCTTTGTTAGGTGAGGAAACATTTTCCAATCTGAGTTTGTCTTGCCCCCTTCCCCGAATCTTTTATTTGGGTTTATGCAGTCCAGAGGACATTATCAAACATTATTCTATTCGAACTCAAATCCAGATAGGATTTTAGATACATCATCTTCGGCGAATCAAAATCTTTTCTAGATGCTTTTGCACCTTGGCCCTCGGTGAACACTCGGTTAAGAAAGGATAGCAAAAGCCAAGATTTTCGATCGCCATCTCTCCATCGCTAAAGTCGACTCACTCGGAGTTTTGTCTAACTTTTTATTCAGCATTGTTACGCATAGGCTGATGCAACCATCCTAAACAATTGCAAGTTCATCGGGAACTGCGAAAAGCTGTAGTGCTTTGGAAACCTAATCAGTAATCACAGCTTTTGCTTTTCCCTAAGAACTTTGACAGCTCGAAAACGCATTAAAGAAGATTCTGTCCATTCAGGAGTTTTCTCCCACCAGTGGTCCCCAGCAAATCAGAATCTTAGGATTTTGCTCCTGGCGAGTTCTCATATAATTGCTTCCTCCATCAATTTACATCGGGCGTGGCTTGCTGTGATTGGAACCAGACACGATCATCAACCTGATTTCTACATTTCCTGGCAGGCCCACGGTGCACGGGACCATCGTCTTGCCAGGGCCGTAGGCGTATCTAAGTTCAGGGCTTGAGCCTTG